CTTTTTTAAGTGTTAAGTATGCACGAGTCTTCCGATCAAACTGTCTGAGACAAATCACCCTCTTACTCTGTGGCAAGATTTAAAAGAATGTTTTTCTTCAATGAAAGAAAATGCCTCGAGTCGTTGCTTATGGTTTTATTGAAACATTCAAGTATCCTGGGTCACCCTACGAGCACGGATTAGGGAAATCGGTCGATATTTCTTTGCGTTCGTTAAAAACGCATTACCATTAACAACTCATCAGAAGCGAAAACAATATTCACTTACTTTAAACGTCTGATGGCAGTAACGCAAACATACTCATCATAACATAAAAATTAAAATAACAATAAAAATTACTTCAACAGTTACACAAAACCCATTTATTAATACAATTTACGTATTATTATTATTCTCTACCGTCGCACAGACATATGCAACAAACAAACAAACAAACAAAAACAAACATTTACGAACCCCAACAACTTCGAGTCGTGTTCAAGGTAAATTTCAAATCTACGTAACTCTTTTAATCATTCGGATCCTTAAAGCCGTCAGAAATCCACACGCTCGCCATTAAGAACCCATCATCATCGCAAAGGAAACCCGTTAAAACCGACCTCAGGTCATCTAAGCAGGTCCTTCCCCCGGCGAGATTCCGAAAATCGCATAACGCGCGCAACACGTGTACCATAAATCACTGGTTCAGCCGGAAAGCCATTCCCGAAGGATCGCATCGATTACCTGTGAAGACGTCGCGAACGAGAAACAACGAACTGCCCTCTCTCCCCCACTCTCCCATTCGCCATCCCCACCACCCCACAGTCGCGATCTCGTTCTCTTATTTTAAGGAGTCCGCTCTCTAAGCGGTTCGTTCAGATAAAATTCGGGGCCTGATCGTAAACCCCGAACTCGGATCGTTAAAAACCGCGTCACAGTGAAGTTGGGAAGATGGAGGCCGCTGCGGAGAAGAAAAGGATAGAGGATCGGGTATACCTACCACTGTTCCTGCAAACGCAGGGCTGCCTAGTCGATTTGTTCTCCAGTTTCACCGGCTGACCTTGACTGGGCAGGAAGGCCTCTCGTTTCTTGCCGGTGGCCTGAACGACCTGGTTGCCAGCGGTCTGGTCTCCTCCCTGCATCACCATCGTGCTCGTCGTTGAGCTCGTCGGGCACGAGGTGGTGCCGTTCACGGTGACCGAGCATCCGGTAGCCGAACCTGTCGGTGACTGATACTCTTGGAGCACCACTCCCGTAGTAGGCACCACGTTCCCCGTTGAATTCGGCGACGAGAAACTGTTGATCGTCAGGGTCGGGGTGTTACCGGTGACCAGTGACAGGTGCGGCGAGAACGTGTTCTGATGGAGACCCCCTGTTCGAGAATGATGAGTATCAATGTTGCGAGATGGATAGAGTCTGTGGTGGACCAAGGCTAACACATTGTTTTGTGATCCTGTGATTCGAATGGTGTGACTGACACTTAAACCCCTTACCCTATGATATATTTCTGAACCTCTTCAAAGATACTGACACATATGTGTACATTTGATGTTAGTTTAACATTAACGTCCATCGAACGGACACGATTGGATGCGCGTCAATTTGAACAAAATGAACTGCGGTCAAACGGAAACTAAGATCATCTTTGCCTGCTCTCAGAAAGAATTCGGCGCTGAAGAGGTTAACTGTGATCGGTACAATTACTTTATCGTTAATAATTTATTAGGAAAAGAGAAAATATTGATGCTTGTTCTGTCTCTATGGTCACTCCAAAGGTTAATAATTGATAATAAAGAATTATTACTTAATTCCTATTTTAAAAAATTGCATAACACCTAGTTTTGTCGAATGCAGTTTAAAATTTTCGTTGCGAGTCTCACGCGATATTGTGGGTCAAGGGGTTAACCCTCTAGCAAAATCCACATCGCTCGAATTGTTTAACAATTTTAGCGTTGATTTACGTATAGAACCATATATTGAAGTATATCGCATTAATAAATATTTTCCTTATCTTCATTTATGTTTTCTTTTTTCTAATAAGTCAATGCAGACTATGAATTTCGTCTGCGTTTCTGACGAGGAAGAATTACCCGCGGTTGGAGGGTCAATGACCACTGAACTTGTATCTAAACAAATGTGGTTGATATTAAAATATTTGTATAAATGTCAGGAATTTTCATGGCCTAAAGTGTGTTTATTTGAAAATTTTGTATATATTTTATTAATTTGTTTCGATATTTCTTTAGAGCGTGGTGGATTGTATAGTGACATGTACGTAGCTTATTTTAATTGCATCGGTTTTTGAAGATCTCCAGATTATAGGAAATACAATGAAAAGAATGTTTACTGACGAAATAGAAAGTGAAAGGTTTTCACAGGGATAACTGCTTTAACTTTCTTGTATTTCATGGTTCCAACAATATTTGGTTCGTTTGATACGCCATTTATCAGTTTATTTGACAACATACAAGAAACATTAAAATTTTGATATGGTTATGAAGTTGTGAATAATTATAATAAAAGTCGGTAAATTATATTACAATAATAAAATATAAGTTATTTAGAGATTACGATTCAAAGGAAAATAAAGAAAAACGGAGAGAAAAAAAAATTCCAAGCATGGAGATTCAGAACTTACGACCTCCAGCGTCACAACCGGAGATGCTAGCTGCTACAACATGTTGCAGTAGGCTTCTTCTAATTGTCTTATTACAGTAACATACAAACTTAAAACTCATTTCCCGCGAAAACGGAGTACCATTGTCAAAAAAGCCATGAGAGTATCTCATTTCTATATGTGTATATACTATACATGCATAAGGTTTCATTCAAAAATAGCTTTTTATGTCTGGCCCTCTCCTTATTAAACCGTAAGGTGTTAACAGTAACGTAATTCTTGCTGAGTTTCCTTAATCCAAAGGAAACCCAAGTTTCCTTCATCCAATTCCTTCATCAAATTCCTTTATCTTCTGAATATATCTACTAACATTCCCATCTGTCAGAAGCCGCTTGAAATCTTCATAACAAGTTCCATTCGGTATTACAAGGTAAAAAGTTAATGGAACAGATTATTCAAGTTAAAACTACGACGGGCCGGGTCCCGAGGAAGTGCAGTAGACTCACCATGATGCAGATGATGAAGACCAGTTAGGTTCAGTGTGTGCTGCGTGTGTTGCGTGTGCTGAGTGTGTTGTGCGTGATGCAAACTGCCAACGTTCACACCGACACCCTGAAGACTAAGCGCCTGTTGACCCGGAGGAGCCAAACTGGCCAAATTCTTGGCCAGTAGTTCGAGCTGCGTCACGGGCACAGGACTGTAGGGTGACCCGGGAGGAGGCGTGGGAGCACCCCAGGTGTAACCACCCACTCCGACCCCAACAGCAGCGGAAAACACGCTCTCTGAAACTACAGAATCCAGCAATTAATCAATCGGCCGTCCCTTCATCCCTCTAATCGGAATAAGGCAACCGACTATGCGGTTATAATCGAGTCGCTTTCGAGTTAATGGGCTATCTGCGCTCGGGCAGATGAGTGAGATCAATTTTCCAAGAATAGTTTTATTCCATAATATTAGGTCATCCTATACGTAATACTGTTTTGTCTTATGTTGTAACTTTTAATGTACCAAATTAACACTTGCGTTTCTTTTCATTGTCGACGTATTGATCATCGTTGTCTATGGTTTTTTCCTATTTTTCGATTAACTTTTTAATGCCATTGTCGAAATGGTAAGTATCGGTACTTACATATTATAAGGACTATCTTTGTTTTTCGGAAACAAAATATTAATAGTAATCGTAACAGTAAGTGTACATAATACATAACAAATAAGTGTTTCATATAATGCCTAAGTACAAAAATATCTTAAAAGGTAAGATAAGACATATTACTTATAGGATGATCTAATACTATTAAGTTGGTATATAAAATAAGTTTGGTTACAAGTATAGTATGACCTCAATTAATTGAGTCACTATTTTTCATAATTTGGATCGTTCAGAGTTTTCGTCATCCATGAACTTAATAATTTGAATCCATGGATTATACCTTAGGATTTGTACCATCGAAGTTTGCAAACATACTTCGAAAAATTTCCTTTCGAGTTTTCATTTAGCTGGATTGTTAGTTACTCAGTTCAATCGGATAATCGAGGTTCTAACGGTATTATATAAACATGTTCCGATTCTAAGAATTGAGTTGTGACTCATTGCAAATACGCGTAACTGTGATTATTCATCACTGATTAACAGGAAGTCTCTGGTAAACAGTCTAACCCAGCAGTGCGACTAAAATCACATGTTCGTTCCTTAATATCATTACGTTTACTTAGTCTCCTTCCAATTCAGTTGTACTTTTATTTCTTGAAGGATACTTTTTAAGTTTAATTATAGTAGAAAAAACATCGTTGTTATTACAGATGTTTCTACCTTTTTCAATACTATTTTAAATTTGTAGACAAATTAATTGTATGGTCAACAGTGAAGACTGCAGGAAGATTGAATGCATTCCTTAAAAATGTGGTACATATTCCTAAAAGTGACAAAGATACCGATACAGATGTCAACGACAAAACTTTCTAAGGTCATTTAGTTGTTAGGTACTTTGCGACTTAATCACTTGCTACATGATTTTCTTTGCAAAAAAATTTTAAGTACAATTTAACAAACTTAACGAATTGTGAAGAATAAAATAGATTAGTCGAGTGCAATCGTGAAAGAAATCATAGTGCAAGGGGTTAAGATATGCTTAAGTTGCTGTATGAACAAACACAAGTGTGCATAGATCGATTAAAGATTTTTATAGCCTGCTATGGTAATAAAAGTTTATGTAACGTGATTTGGAAAATCATCAAAGATATAAACAACTGTGAAATTATTATTGAAATGACAGCTAATTTCTGCTGACTCAATGTACATCATTGAGCATTATAAAAAACAGTGAGACGATGGAGTTGGGTTGAACACGCAGTGTCGAGAGCAACTGAAGATGTGGGGATTTGTAAGATTTGAAGAAAAAAGAATGAAAGAGCAACTGACGGGTGCTATAATTTGAAAGGAAAGTAATTTATTTGCTCTGCGACATATATATTTAAAGATTATAGGCAAATGCGAACAATTCTTTTCTTGCCTTAATCGGAAAATTTAAACATTACCTTCTTTCGGACACCAACGAATTATTTTGTATAAAACTTTGTATTATCATTTTCCATGCCATTATATATTCACCATCGTAAAACATATTTTACGTTAATTCATGGTTTCTTTTAAGCATCGAAAGATTAAAAGAATTTTTTTTTTTATTACACTGAGAAGTTGGATTACTGATATTTTGTTTGTAAGTGAAAAAAGAAACTGTATCTAAGAAGTTCAATATTTCATTTATATATAAAAAATTAGTAGTGCAAAGGAAATCACCCTCAATTTTTGAGAAGTGTAATTTAAATTTAAATTTAATACTAAGAGTTGAATTTCAAGTGTACATATTAAAACCTTCATTTATAACAGTTCAATCATTACATTCTCGCGTGTGTGGTTTCTCTAACTATGGTTCGAAGTTTCAAGTATTATCGCCTTACGTCAATATTTGTAAGTGTTTGAGTCAAAACATTTTTCAGGAAAATTGATGATAAAACTTCCGATATTTATGAGTGAAAAAGTTTAAATGATATCGACGAACTGAATACGGATTTTTATCTCATGCACCAAATTTTTCAAATTCATGTATTTCCATAAAATTGTAAAACTCATACGCAGATAAAATGTAATTGCATTAAATGAAATAACCTAGTCAATTTAAAAATCCAATAATTAAATATTGCTTTTTAGCTCATTACTTGTAAAATCACTTGTAAATTATAAATGTAACACAGAAATAAGTTGATACAACTTCGTGAATGAAACTAGTGCACTACGTTGAGAAGAATCTCAAGCGATCATTGACTTAAATTAAGGATTATTAGTGGTACTCCGTATCTCAAGGAACTATTTTATTTTCTCAATTTATAATAAAATCCGCGTGGTTCCTTTTCTTAAATCCGTATGAAGGTCTACCCAATTACCTGATATACCGAAATTTAGTCTTTGATCCTTAGCTTCCAAAAGAAACTGAAAAATATCTGAAAAAAGTGATGCGAGAGCGGTGTTTTAGTTGTATCAGAGACTATTTAAACGTGTTTCAATTTCTAGAAAGACATTGAAACAGAAATGTAAGTACATCGTTTTACTTTACAAAATATGCAGGATCATTGTCGACAATAAAATAGTTTGTGTAACTTTTATAGTCGGCACGTGAATAATTTTCCAAATTGAGCATCTTGTTTATTTTATAAAATGAATTATCTCATAAAGTGAAGCTAACAGAGAAAAACGAATTCCAGATTCGTATTCGGAGCACGAAACCTACAAGAATCATCTATTGATTACCGGAATACGAATGTGTATTGACGAATGTTATTATAAAATATTGCAGTGCACGTGCAGAATGCAATTTATTACAGCTGCCTTTCATATTCGAATTTCATCAATTATATCAATTTGAAATTTACAACGGACAATATATTATTTTATTTAAAATAACAGAATATTTATATACGACGAACAAACAAAAGGAAACACATAATAAGACAATATTGGGATACTGCAAAATAATAATTAAAACAAAATAAAATTGTTCAGTATCGAGACTTACAATTTCTAAAAAAAACTCTATAACTACAATAAAATTATAATAATGATATAATATTCTAATTAAAGAGTTTTCTTAGAAAACATTGTAAGTCCTAATACTGAACAATTTTGTTTTTTTTATTATTCTGTATAATTATTAATCTCGTCCGTATGCGATGAGCCAAGCAAACCGCGCGAAACTTCGGTTTGCAGGAAAAACGTCTCAGAATTTACAAAGGAACCTTTCCAACCAGCGTACTCCCCTTTTTATGAGACTTATATGAAACATAATTCACAAGAAAATATTCGACACGTATTTTTTCTTATCGGCCAACATCCAGTTTGAAGGGGTGAAAACAACCCTCAAAGTTAAGGGTTGGAAGTATCATTTTTACAATATCCCTGAAACTAGGGGGGAAACTAATTTCGATTTATTTTAACACTAAAACTACCAGACGGCTCAAAATGACCCATTTCTGAGTTCTTCTTTTTGCAATTATTCAAAAGATAACAGATGTTTCTCTGAGAAGTTATTAAAGAAATTGATTTAACCATATGCAAATTGAACTGTAAATCGATTGAAGCCTCAATAGATGCACTCTTGGAGTTTCCATAGACAAATTTTAAAAAGTCCCTGTAGTTTCAGAGATACTGTAAAAAAATATATACTTCCAATCCCTCAAGTTTGACGAATGCTTTCACCCCTTCAAAGTTAATGTTGGCCGATGACCGAAATACGTGTAAAATATTTTCTTAATCCCTTGCTTTACAATAACGCATGAAACTCGTGGTGAACATATTAAACAGGATTTAAAAAACATAAATATCACTGAATTCCTTTGAGTTCAAATGAAATATTACTCTTGTGTTATTCATTGTTATATTGTAGGGAAAACGTAGACATAGAATACGCATAGAATTTTACTCTTTTTGCAATGAATTAGTACTTACAGAAATTATTACAACGTTACTTGTTGTATCGATCACAGTTGAAAAATATATCATACGGCAAGGGATTAAAAACTGTGTCTTGCACAAGTTTCATCAAAATCACCGTGTGCTAGTTGAAAAGGTTCCCTTTCTAAAGGTTCGCGCCATGAGCATCCGGGCTCGGACTTTCGATCGTAAATCAGCATCCTCGAGGATGATTCGCGCTCCGTGCGGATAGAAGAAGCTCCGCGCCTGATGTTCCTCCCGTGGCTCGCTTAATCCGCTTGCATTTCCTGATTTTGCAAACGACTTTGCTGCGGCCCATCCCCGCAGAAACTCTATCGAATCTACATTGAACCGGTATGAATATTAAAGTTGCCGAGTGACGCGTTGCCCGATAGGCTTATTGAAATTTATCGCATTAGTTGTTCGCCGCTTTTCGATAAATATGCAATAAACGGACGGCAGACGGATAAATGGAAAATCCATGCAAATTCATTTAAATTGGTCGCGATACATCCCCC